CTTTGATATTTCGTTATTATAGAATATCGATCATTATACTAATAATTTTAATTGTTGCAGATTCAGAATCTTTCGCTGAAAATGAGAAAGCATCTGTCGCGGATTTCATGGAGTCGTCTTCTTCAGTGTCACTTTCTAACTCATCAATTTCACAAGGCATTGCATCCACAAGCATGCAAAAAGCCGTAGTTTCTGCTATCACACCGCAAAGACACCACCAGCAGATAATACTAAAAAGAGAAAGCGACAGACAAGTGATGAAGTGGATGCAGCAATACTAGAATCATCCAAAAGCATCTCCTCCTTGGTCAACTCATTAGAAATTGCACTGAAAAAAATATGACGTCAACAGCATTACAATCGGCAAAATCAGAATTATCTACTGCAGTAGAAAACATGATGAGTGGTATAACCTTAGGATTGAGCAAAGTTCATGAAGAACATCAAATGGATTGTTTTATATCGATCCTTGCTTGCATTAATGACTTTATAAAGAGATGAAACTTTTATGAATTTTTTAATATGGATAAGATTTCTTGACTATTTTTCTTTCCATAAATGACTTGATTGCTTTTTTGTTTCTATAGATTTATAAAATAATATGTTATCTTCTTGTTTGTTTTTGAATTTATTTGAATTTATTTATTATAAAATGTTTTTATTTTCCTTTCAGACCATGTTTTGACCAGATAATAAAATTTTTGTTTTCTTAGATTACATTTTTATTAGAAATGTTAAAAAATTTTATTAATATAGAAATATTAAGAATTATATATTGAAGAATTATTAACAATAATATTAAACAAAATAAATTATAATGAATAAATTATAATGAACAAATTATTTTCTCTTTTTTCATTTATATCTCTGCTATAAATTTTTATTTTTCATAAAAATGTTATAAATATTGCGACGTTATCTTCTTTGCCGTCGGCCCACGTGCCCCGGCCGTTCGCACCAAAGTGTTGGACGCCAGGTGTGGATAGCCGCACCGACCACCAACACGAAAAAGGAATAATTATTCCTTTTTCGTGTTGGTTTACAAACAAAGTCAAATTTACAAATTCCGGTCAACTTTTGGACCCGAGCAGGTAAGAACGATTCTTAACGTTATTTGATGCGCTGAATCCGAATCTTCAATCCGTTTGTCAAGATTGGTTCTAGTTTTCGAGTTCTCGCATGTTGGCAGCATTGCGCTGTCATAACGACTCTCATGAGGGCGTCGCTAGAAAAATCATTTCAATTGTATTCGAATGGTATTGTTTTTGTTTAAGAACGTGTAAAAATGCAGAGACAGCGTTGCAAAGTCGATTCAAAGTGTTTTTGTTACGTTTGCGGATGTTATATGCTCGGGAAAAGCGGCAAAATAATGACAAATGCGCTCAGAGATGCGTATCTGCATTACTTTGGTTTCTCTGTAGCAAACACTAACAAGCCGTGGGTGCCGAAATGTTTTTGTAACGCATGCAGAACAAAGCTGTACAAGTGGTCACTCGGTGAAAATGTGTACTTTTCATTTTCATTGCCAATGCTATGGAGAGAACTAAAAAATCATATAGATGATTGCTACTTTTGCTTGATGAATGTCGTCGGTATAAATGCAAAAAAACTAGCACAGTGTAAATATCCTGACGTATCATCAGTGTCCAAGCCAGTTCCACGTACGAGCAATGAGCCATTGCCAGTTTGTCCAGGTATAAGTATTGGGTGAGTGCAAAAGTTCGTGCGGAGTTTCAATAGATGGAGTTATAAGCGTCGTAAAGTGTTGTCATTAATACTTCCATCTACATATTATATAACGTTGGAAAGGTGACGTCTTCAGCTGTTATTAAAAAAAAAATCATTTGTTTTCATACAAACTGCTTCGAGAAATATCACTTTAAAAATGAGTATCGATAAGGTGCATTTACGGCATGTTATGCTTTACGAGTTTCGGAAGGGAATAAACGTTGCCGCAGCCGTAAAAAACATTCAGGATGTTTATCAGGATGAAGCACCAGCTAAACGAACTGTGGAAAAATGGTTTGCTAAATTTCGGCGCGGAGAATTTAACCTTGAAGACGAGCCACGCTCTGGTCGACCTTCTGACATCTGGTGACCTTGATGACGATGTTTTGCGTACTTTAGTGCTCAATAATCCGCGAATTTCAACAGAACAAGTTGCTACAGCACTAAACGTTGACCGATCAACCGCTTTTCGGCGTTTAAAAAAGATGGGATTCGATTTGAAGCTCGATATATGGGTGCCCCATTTGCTGACCGAGAAGAACAAAATCAAGCGAATTTCTGCAGCCGTTTCTTTACTCGGGCGGCTCAATAACGAGTCGTTTTTGGATCGACTAGTGACGACGGGCGATGAGAAATGGGTCCTCTACAACAATGTTCAGCGCAAACGAACATGGAAACAATCAGGTGAGCATGGTGACGCAATGCCAAAGGCCAGTTTGCACCCGATGAAGGTGATGCTCTCTGTTTGGTGGGATTGCAAGGGCATAATCTATTTCGAGCTTCTCCCCGCTAGCGAAACGATTGATTCGGACAAGTACTGTCGCCAATTAACCAATCTGAATCGAGAAATAAAAGAGAAACGCCCGATTTTGTCAAATCGCAAGGGAGTCGTCTTTCATCACGACAACGTCACACCGCACGTTTCGAAAAAGACGCTGCGCAAACTGAAGAGCCTGAAATGGGATGTCTTAACGCATCCACCGTATTCTCCTGATATCGCACCATCTGACTATCACTTGTTCCGGTCATTGCAAAATTATTTAAATGGAAAAAACTTTGACTCTTTGGAGGCCTTAAAAAACGGCGTCTCTTCGTTCTTCGAATCTAAACCGCGCAGTTTTTATGATCGAGGCATCCGTATGCTGCCAGAACGTTGGGAAAAGATTATAGAAAACGATGGAGAATATATCATTGATTGAATAAAGATTTTTGTTTGCCTAATCACTGTGTGACTTTTACTCACAAACTCCGCACGAACTTTTGCACTCATCCAATACAAATGCTCAGGCAACTTCGACTTCATCGCCGTCGAGCAGTGGAAGCGATTTTGTCATGAAAGAGAAGCATTTAATTTCGCAAAGTGAACTCAGTGATTTGATTCGTGATTTGAATTTATCGAAACAAAAAGCAGAGTTGCTTGCATCACGGTTGCAGGAGTGGAAATATCTTGACACTCGAACAAAAGTCACTGTATATAGAAACAGAAATCAGGCGCTTCTACCGTTTTTCAAATAATCCGCAATTTGTTGCAAAATTACCGCAAGATTGGAGCTCGAATGTCTCTCAAAATTCATTTCCTGCATTCACATCTCGATTTTTTCCCTGGAAACTTAGGCGATACGAGCGACGAGCAAGGAGAGCGGCTACACCAAGATATGGCGAAAATCGAAAGACGATACCAAGGATTTTGGGATGGTGGCATGATGAGCGACTACTGTTGGACTCTAATGTATGAAACGGACCCCAAACAATACAAACGACTCAGTTTTACTGCTCTTCATTTCTGATTTATAACTTTTAATTGAATAAAATAGCCATTAATTGTCAAAAATAATAAAAAATGAATTTATTGAATATCTCAAAAACTAGAACCAATCTTAAAAAACGAATTGAAGATTCGGATTCAGCGCCCCAAATTACCTTAGAAACAGCTTTTGGTTGCTCAGGTCCAAAACCGTGTATACTTGTGTAATTAACGGCCGGCCACGACGTGAGAGTTCGACGGACTCGGTAGCTCTAGGGGAATTATAGTCGGTAGACGGGAGGGTTCGATTGGAAATCCGGGAAGTTATCGGGAAACAAAGAGTGGCACTGAGCGTTTGGATTATCTCACTTTTATTGTGTCACGGGAATCGGTACGGTCCGACCTCTTGATACGATACACCTCGCTGCGTTCTTTCGCGAGTTCGAGACTTGCTCTGCGCTCACAAATAGTAACCGAGACACGGTACGCACGGGACACCGAAAGAGAAAAATAGGTGGACGGTCTTACACAGTCGGGAGCCTCGTGGCGGCGTGGTCCTTCGTCCTCCTTCCTCCGCTCGCTCTGGCGTAACACAGCCACCGACGGTACCTCCTTGGGCGAGTGGAACACAAAACTTTGTCTCTCGCTAACGGCCAAAACAAATCTCTTTTCCACAGCGATAGTCGGTAACTAACGATAAGCAATCCATAATAATCGGAAGCAGACTGGCGATATCAGAGAGAGCGAAAGCGGTAATCCTCTCTTTTATTTCTACAAAACAGATCTCCTCCTTTCTTCCTTGTCTATCCTTTGTTTTGGGTAGAGGCTCTTCTCTCCCCGTTCCTCGTTTGCTCTCCCAGTACGGGAATCCTTCCGCGGATCTGTTTTCGATCCGCGGGGCGGATGCTCGGTCTCACTCTCGCGCGCGCGCTCTCTCTCTCGCGCTTCCGCTGTCTTCACGTGCGCCTAGACCGGATTTTTCTCGTACTCGATCACGCGTCGAGCACGGGAGCGACGGTATTTTTGTTCGATATTCCTACTGGCCTGTGGACAACGAAAACGGCAGCGAGAATCTTTTGAGGCGATACGGGAGTCGATAATAAGAAAGATAATGGGGAGCATTCACCTGATGTGGCTGTCCTGGCGATGGGTGACGTTCTCTTTTCCCTCCTGGCTCCTCCGGTCTTGATGGTCGGCGCAGGAGGTCCAGGGGCACAAAGCTCGGGGACGCGGGACCGTCACACCTGCGCGCTCTTACCACTAATAATAACTAATTACGATTTCGGGGGAGGATCCTTTGTAATTCGCGTCACCCTTAGGACCTCTTCCCCCCCCCCCCCGCCTCGCGATATAGGGTTTGCCATATTGTGACGGGCGCCTCCACGGCTGCCACGTCACAATATCAATTTTAATAAATAAAAACATTTAAATGAAACACACAATTCTATATTTAACGTATTTTTACATGGATGTATGGTTTAAATTAATTTTTTACCATCATTCAATGAACCTATAAACAGAAACATGACATGCATTTCTACATGCACTATAACTATATATTTAGATTATGAGATATACTGCTATGATTACATACTGTACTGCCCAATATCCACCCATGTAAACTTATATTCTCCATCGCAAGCAGCCATAATTACCATGCTAAAAATCCTTTATAATTGTAAAATTGGGATCCTGACATAGGAGGGGCTTTAATGCGTATGTGTTTCCCATCAATGGCACCGACGCAATTAGGGAACTGCCATTTATCCATAAATCCCTGTGCCACTGTATTCCATGAATTTTTATCCATAGTTGGGAGAAAAGTTGGTTGTAATGCTTCTCAAATTGCTTGGCAGGTCTCAAGGATTATCGTGTACACTGTTGATCTCCCTATGCGAAACTCAGTATATTTACTTAAAATAGAGTCTCCTAGAGCCAGATATCTGCAAGAACAACATAATAATGTTATACACACACGCACGCACGCACGCACGCACGCACGCACCGCACGCACGCCACGCACGCCACGCCACGCACGCACGCCACGCACGCACGCACGCACGCACCCGCCCCCACGCCCCCACCCGCCACGCCACGGCACGCACGCACGCACGGCCACGCCACGCACGCCACGGCCACGCCACGCACGCACGCACGCACCGCCACGCACGCACGCACGCCACGCACGCACGCCACGCACGCACGCACGCACGCACGCACGCACGCACGCACGCACGCACGCCACGCACGCACGCACGCACGCACGCACGCCACGCACGCACGCACGCACGCACGCACGCACGCACGCACGCACGCACGCACGCACGCCACGCACGCACGCCACGCACGCACGCACGCACGCACGCACGCACGCCACGCACGCACGCACGCACGCACGCACGCACGCACGCACGCACGCACGCACGCACGCACGCACGCACGCACGCACGCACGCACGCACGCACGCACGCACGCACGCACGCACGCACGCACGCACGCACGCACGCACCGCACGCACGCACGCCACGCACGCACGCACGCACGCAACGCACGCACCGCACGCACGCACGCGCACGCACGCACGCACGCACGCACGCACGCACGCACGCACACGCACGCACGCACGCACGCACGCACGCACGCACGCACGCACGCACGCACCGCACGCACGCACCGCACGCACGCACGCACGCACGCACGCACGCACGCACGCACGCACGCACGCACGCCCACGCACGCACGCACGCACGCACGCACGCACGCACGCACGCACGCACGCACGCACGCACCGCACGCACGCACGCCACGCACGCACGCCACGCACGCACGCACGCACGCCACCGCACGCACGCACGCCACGCACGCACGCACGCACGCACGCACGCACGCACGCACGCACGCACGCACGCACGCACGCACGCACGCACGCACGCACGCACGCACCGCACGCACGCACGCACGCACGCACGCACGCACGCACCGCACGCACGCACGCACGCACGCACGCACGCACGCACGCACGCACGCACGCACCGCACGCACGCACGCACGCACGCCACGCACGCACGCCACGCCACGCACGCCACCGCCACGCACGCACGCACGCGCCACGCACGCACGCACGCACGCACGCACGCACGCACGCACGCACCGCACGCACGCACGCACGCACGCCACGCACGCACGCACGCACGCACGCACGCACGCACCACGCACGCACGCACGCACGCACGCACGCCACGCACGCACGCACCGCACGCACGCACCACGCACGCACGCACGCACGCACGCACGCACGCACGCACGCACGCACGCACGCACCCGCACGCACGCACGCACGCACGCACGCACGCACGCACGCACGCACGCACGCACGCACGCACGCACGCACGCACGCACGCACGCACGGCACGCACGCACGCACGCACGCACGCACCACGCACGCACGCACGCACGCACGCACGCCACGCACGCACGCACGCACGCACGCACGCACGCACGCACGCACGCACGCACGCACGCACGCACGCACGCACGCCCACGCACCGCACGCACGCACGCACGCACGCACGCCACGCACGCACGAGCACGCACGCAACGCACGCACGCCCACGCACGCACGCCCACGCACGCACGCACGCACCACGCACGCACGCACGCACGCACGCACGCACGCACGCACGCACGCACGCACGCCACGCACGCCACGCACGCACGCACGCACGCACGCACGCACGCACGCACGCACGCACGCACGCACGCACGCACGCACGCACGCACGCACGCACGCACGCACGCACGCACGCACGCACGCACGCCACGCACGCACGCACCACGCACCACGCACGCACGCACGCACGCACGCACGCACGCACGCACGCCACGCACGCACGCCACGCACGCACGCACGCACGCACGCACGCACGCACGCACGCACGCACGCCACGCACGCACGCACGCCACGCACGCACGCACGCACGCACGCACGCACGCACGCACGCCACCACGCACGCACGCACGCACGCACGCACGCACGCACGCACGCACGCACGCACGCACGCACGCACGCACGCACGCACGCACGCACGCACGCACGCACGCACGCACGCACGCGACGCACGCACGCGCACGCACCGCACGCACGCACACGCACGCACGCCGCACGCACGCACGCACGCACGCACGCACGCACGCACCCGCACGCACGCACGCACGCACGCACGCACGCACGCAACGCACGCACGCACGCACCGCACGCACGCCACGCACGCACGCACGCACGCACCGCACGCACGCACGCACGCACGCACGCACGCACGCACGCACGCACGCACCGCACGCACGCACGCACCGCACGCACGCACGCACGCACGCCACGCACGCACGCACGCACGCACGCACGCACGCACGCACGCCACGCACGCACGCACGCACGCACGCACGCACGCACGCACGCACGCACGCACGCACGCACGCACGCACGCACGCACGCACGCACGCACGCACGCACGCACGCACGCACGCACGCACGCACGCACGCACGCACGCACGCACGCACGGCACGCACGCACGCCACGCACGCACGCACGCACGCACGCACGCACGGCACGCACGCACGCACGCACGCACGCACGCCACGCACGCACGCACGCCACGCACACGCAACGCACGCACGCACGCACGCGCACGCACGCACGCACGCACGCACGCACGCACGCACGCACGCACGCACGCACGCACGCACGCACGCCACGCACGCACGCACGCACGCACGCACGCACGCACGCACGCACGCACGCACGCACGCACGCACGCACGCACGCACGGCACGCACGCACGCACGCACGCCACGCACGCACGCCACGCACCCGCACGCACGCACGCCACGCACGCACGCACGCACGCACGCCACGCACGCACGCACGCACGCACGCACGCACGCCACGCACCGCACGCAGCACGCACGCACGCACGCACCACGCACGCACGCACGCACGCACGCACGCACGCACGCACGCACGCACGCACACGCACGCACGCACGCACGCACGGCACGCACGCACGCACGCACGCCACGCACGCACGCACGCACGCACGCACGCACGCACGCACGCACGCGCACGCACGCACGCACGCACGCACGCCACGCACGCACGCACGCACGCACGCACGCACGCACGCACGCACGCACGCACGCACGCACGCACGCACGCACGCACGCACGCACGCACGCACGCACGCACGCACGCACGCACGCACGCACGCACGCACGCACGCACGCACGCACGCACGCACGCACGCACGCACGCACGCACGCACGCACGCACGCACGCACGCACGCACGCACGCACGCACGCACGCACGCACGCACGCACGCACGCACGCACGCACGCACGCACGCACGCACGCACGCACGCACGCACGCACGCACGCACGCACGCACGCACGCACGCACGCACGCACGCACGCACGCACGCACGCACGCACGCACGCACGCACGCACGCACGCACGCACGCACGCACGCACGCACGCACGCACGCACGCACGCACGCACGCACGCACGCACGCACGCACGCACGCACGCACGCACGCACGCACGCACGCACGCACGCACGCACGCACGCACGCACGCACGCACGCACGCACGCACGCACGCACGCACGCACGCACGCACGCACGCACGCACGCACGCACGCACGCACGCACGCACGCACGCACGCACACGCACGCACGCACGCACGCACGCCACGCACGCACGCACGCACGCACGCACGCACGCACGCGCACGCACGCACGCACCCGCACGCACCCGCACGCACGCACGCACGCACGCCACGCCACGCACGCACGCACGCACGCACGCCCACGCACGCACGCACGCACGCACGCACGCACGCACGCACCGCCCACGCACGCACGCACGCACGCACGCACGCACGCACGCACGCACGCACGCACGCACGCCACGCACGCACGCACGCACGCACGCACGCACGCACGCACGCACGCACGCACGCACGCACGCACCACGCCACGCCCCCCCCCGCACGCACGCACGCACGCACGCACGCACGCACGCACGCACGCACGCACGCACGCACGCACGCACGCACGCACGCACGCACGCACACACAATAAAATTATTTCAGATTTTACTTACAAGAGTGTCACCTGTAAACGCAGTTTAAGACACAATGGAGTCCTCCTGCTTCGCTTTAATAATTTATCTTGCACTTGATTAAGTAGCCAATTAAAATGCTCTGGCCACATGCGAAAATTTTGAAAAAATACATCATGGTCTTGCGTCTCCATTTCTCTTACAAGATTTGTCTGATAACCTTGTTGAACTTTAAATTGATTTATGGGACGAATCCACCATCTCCTTCTTTTACGATGTTCTCGTCTTTCTTTTCGTCGTTTCCATTCTAATATTAATTGATGGTGCCATATAATAACGGAAATACTTGCTAAAATTAATTCATTAAACTCCATTTCGCAAATAACCTCTCTATTCACTGAGGTTTATTGGTTCGATAGAGATATCGGTGTTACAAAAGCACAATCCAGCATATCGTCTTCGTAATTTTTCGTATTATTTAGCTAAATTCTTTGTTTATTACCAATACTAAAAATTATTTTATGAATATATACTTTATAAACTAAATGAACGTAGTTCACACTCCTGCAAAATTAATCGACTCTCGCACACTCGAGAGGACCTCGATTGCCTACACGATTGGACATAACCAACCGGTGTAAAGCTCTATCTGGTGAATTTTAGATCCAACCAATCATTATTCTGTGTCCTGTGTACAATCGTGATGTGTCCAATCGGACCACCTGCACAGTCGATACAATTTTCCTCCTGCGTTCTGATTGGCTTATCCTTTCTATTGCATCGTATAGTAGACAGGACTAGCGTAAGCATCTTTACGCCAAAATCGTTACGGTTACACGACATTTTCCCGAAAAGTAGAGGGGATAACGTTGGCATCAACGAAAACCTCTAGGCAACCTAATTTCAATTTCCGTCGATTAGTAACACTGTTCAAGTAGTAGTCTGCCAGTTTGTTGAATCTTTTTGACAGATGTGCGCGCGTGTTTATAATAAATATTTACGATCGTAATATTTTATAAATGTAAGTATAATATATATATATATATATATTACAACATTCATTTAAAATAAAATTAAGTAAAAATATTACAAATAAGAGAAAACGTAAAATTTAATAATATGAACGAAATGAAAAACAATGATATTATACGTATAAGTGGATTAATTATTATATGCAATTAAACAATTTGAGTTCTTCAATGTTTTAACGTATCTTGATAAATATTACTTATAGTTGTGACATCGTTCTTCGCATTTCTGTCATCGTCAATAACGGAATGAAGCCTATACAAGATGAAAGGAGCATTAATAATAAAAGAAGTAAATGGAAAATAGACAAATATATATCAGATAAGTAACAAATATTCTCATGAAAGAAAAGATTATGTATGTATGTGCTATCTGTAATTGTAGATGTTGTTGGATTGATTCTTTTCTTTGATTAATTTTTTTGTTCCAGCTTCCCAGCTAACCAGGAGTGCTTGTAAAATGTCAATAACCAGAGGAACAATAAGGAAAATTAAAAGAAGAATAAGAAGTATATTAAAGTATTTATTAAATAATTTCTTTTTTTCCAACTAATTCAGATAATGAATGTAATATTAATAAAATATTAAAAATTTAGATTTCTTGGATTTTATTCCAAATTTTTTGGACTTCAACTTCTTTCTGTTTGAAGGTATCATACTCTGATTTCGATAAGAATTGTGGATGTCTCATAGAAGTTCATAGAGATTTATTAGCTTTATAGATCTTTATCAGATCTAATGTTTATAAAATTTATTATCTTTCTTAACACGTATAATATAATATATACACATCTAATATAATACATAATTTTTGGTATTATGTTCTTCCATTATTGTGTACAGAGTTGGACATATTTGAACTTTGAGCGCAATTAAATTTACTCATATATTTACATACAATGTAAAGATATTTTACAATTAAATGAACTAATTACTAATAATGAATGAAATGATAAATTATTTTATTCATTCTATCATGTCTCATTGTAATTTTTTGTAATTGATATTTGTAGTTGGAGTACTGTCACAAACATTCATCAGGAAAAATAGTTAATTTTTCATTAATTATATTTGTAATTGATTGTTACTTTTATCAATAAGAACAGCTTTTATGTTGTTATTTATAATCATATAGTCAACAATATAAGAGTTTGTTGCATCCATTATTAATATTTCCTACCATGTTTTTTTCTTATAAGTAAATCATATTAAGATCATCATGTCATGTAAATCATATTAAGATTTTTTGAAATCTGTTTAATATTTTTTTTCTTTAACGTTTAATAGATTGTTCAGTATTAGAATACTTGTCAAGTCCAGTAAATATTTGTGTTTATGTGTAAATATACTAATTACAAATTATAAATTATAATATATATATTATAATATATATATATAATATATATATTATAAATTATAATTATATTATATATTATAAATTATATTACAAATTATAAATAGATTGTCTTCATCATTTTTTTTTCATCGTTTCTTACTAATCGTTTCTTTAAAACTTTCTTTTATGATTTTTATTTTAAATTTCTGTGATGCGGTGAAGAAGTCTGTAATATTTTTCAACTTTTTCGAAATCAAATATTGTGCTTCATTATGATTCTGTTTTTCCCGATTGTCTTTTTGCACTCTTACAGTGGTATTATGGTGAATGCCATTGTTTATTGTACTATTATTATCGTATATTATATTTCGAGATGACAGAAAAAAAGAAGTGCAATACTGAGTGCAATAAAAGAATACAACATCCAAAATTAAAATACGAGGGATATCATTTCCATTATAATATATCCTATAGGGATACAATGTAAGCAGATTAATTCATTAAATTATACCATAAAAAATCTGATTTATGAATAGAAAAACAGCTTATAATTTAATAATTGTTTAATCGTATAAACTATCTTCTTTTGAATCACAGTTATTAATTTTTGAGAATCTATCTAAATTTTTATTTAATTCATTATATAGTTTTGTAAAAATTATTCCGAAGATAATTTTTTATTAATTTACGTAATCAGCACAGAAGCGTATCAGTATTTGATGTATTAATGTATTTAATTATGAATAATTTCATGTATTTATGTATTAGATTTATTTCATATATTTGATGTATTTAATTATGAATGATTTTTTCATAGATATTATGTAGTTTTCGTAAAAATAAAGTGCAATGTAAAGCAAAATTAAAAATTGTAAGTGATAATTATATTGTTAGTGGAAAACATGAACATGAAAAACCTATATTTCAATTATGTGAGATTAGTAAAGAAATTGAAGCATCATGTGCATTTGAATCATCTAGATTAATAAAGAAAAGAATTATTTCGAAGTGAGTATAAAACAATAAAATAGAAAACAACAAATAAATGTTATTAATGAAGATGAGTACCTATTATTTATAATTGTAATTTTTATATTTGTAATTGTAATAGTAATTTGTTTATTTATATCTAGATACGACCATTTATTAGATTTGACAAAAATTGGTAATTTAGAAAAATCAATCGAAAGACATAAAAAAAAATGTATTCGAAATATTCCAAAAAATTTAAATGATTTAACATATTGTTTAAATAAAGAAAATTGGAAAGAATTATTAAAAATAGAAACAACTGATTCTTTTATTGTTGATTTTGTAATGAAAGGAAAAAATACCAAAGCGATTATTTCCATTGATAACGTTTTAGCGCAGTCAGTTATGTCAATAATTAATGACAAACTAACCATTTTTGTGGATGGAACATTTAAGACAGTTCCTCAAATTCAAGAAAACAATTGTCAATTGTGGACAATTATAATTAGATATGATAATAACGTAAGCAAACAATTAATTCATTTCTTCATTTAATAATTAGTTGATTTTCCTGCAAAATCATTCTATGTAAATAAATGAGTAAATTAAATTGTTCTTAAATTTCAGACATTTCCAATTGTTTACACTATAATGGAAGGATGCACTTTTGATGATTATTTAAATGTTTTACAGAAAGTCATCCACATAATTAAATTAGCACCAGAAATTATAATATCAGATTTTGAAAAAGCCGAGCGAAAGGCATTACAAACGATTTTTCCCAGAGCTAAAGTCATTGGCTGCTTCTTTTATTATAGTCAGGTAATAAAAGATAACTATGTACAAAACAATAAACATGAAATACATGTCAATTTTCCTTATACCACATTCTTATTACAGGCCTTAATACATAATGCTGAGAAGCACAACATCCTAAAAGGCGACAAAAAGGAATCAGGTTGGGACGCATTAAAACTATTGATATCTTTGGCTTTTTTGCCGAAAGATTTAATAGAAGGAGCCTTCGAAATTATTTATAAAATAATATTTAATGATTGCAAATATCTTCGATCATTTTTTCATTATTATAGAGAGACATGGTTAAATGGCTTCAAACCTCGTTCATTTTGTGTTTTTCAACAGTTACACAGAACGAACAATATTTCTGACAGGCACAACCGAGAATTACGAGAAAGCCTAAAGAAACATTCAAAAATAGTTGAATTTTTAGGTATATTGTAAATGCTCTATTGTAAACACTGTTTTTTCATTATTTTTATTGTTCTTATAATTTAATATTATTTATAGCTAATCTAATTGAACATCAAAAAGACATTCGAAGTAAACTGAAACATCCAAACTTCTGGGCGAGATCAGAGCATTATATATTAAAACAGAGGGAAAATGAAATTCAAACAATTTGGTATAAAATCCAAGATACTAAAAATTTAGATATTTTATTAATATTACATTCATTATCTGAATTAGTTGGAAAAAAGAAATTATTTAATAAATACTTTAATATACTTCTTATTCTTCTTTTAATTTTCCTTATTGTTCCTCTGGTTATTGACATTTTACAAGCTCCTGGTTAGCTGGGAAGCTGGAACAAAAAAATTAATCAAAGAAAAGAATCAATCCAACAACATCTACAATTACAGATAGCACATACATACATAATCTTTTCTTTCATGAAAATATTTGTTACTTATCTGATATATATTTGTCTATTTTCCATTTACTTCTTTCATTATTAATGCTCCTTTCATCTTGTATAGGCTTCATTCCGTTATTGACGATGACAGAAATGCGAAGAACGATGTCACAACTATAAGTAATATTTATCAAGATACGTTAAAACATTGAAGAACTCAAATTGTTTAATTGCATATAATAATTAATCCACTTATACGTATAATATCATTGTTTTTCATTTCGTTCATATTATTAAATTTTACGTTTTCTCTTATTTGTAATATTTTTACTTAATTTTATTTTAAATGAATGTTGTAATATATATATATATATATATTATACTTACATTTATAAAATATTACGATCGTAAATATTTATTATAAACACGCGCGCACATCTGTCAAAAAGATTCAACAAACTGGCAGACTACTACTTGAACAGTGTTACTAATCGACGGAAATTGAAATTAGGTTGCCTAGAGGTTTTCGTTGATGCCAACGTTATCCCCTCTACTTTTCGGGAAAATGTCGTGTAACCATCGTTACTTCTACTCCTAGGCTGGTATTCATAGTCAGGTCTTATATTTAAGACCGTCTTAAGTTCACTTTCAGATACTCTATAGCCAATGAAATGCTTTGTACAGAGTTTGAAGATAAACTTAAGACGGTCTTAAATATAAGATCCGACTATGAATACCGGCCCTATTCCTTACTTCACCTATTGTAGATCGGGCCTTACTGCTTATGGCCATTGTAGACCACGCTTTAATGTTACCATCTTACAATTTAAGGTTATAGTAACCTTATTAAGACCTTAATGTGCTGTGAGCATAGATGTATAATAAATAGACCGCGCGTTCAGCGGAGGGGGCGTTCTATATTCGAAAGAGATAACATGCTTTTGTTGAGTAATCTATCGCTTTCTAACGATGCGTGGGGGTAAAGCAGTCTTCCGTGACAGGGGAAACAGAAGTAGGAGAATATAGAGAAAGGGGAATTGTGAAAGGCAAAGAGAAGAAAATACGTCTGATATAAATACACGCATATGGAGAAATGACGATTTTGTATGGAAAAATGATGAATATAGACATATGACGATGGGTATAATTACATACCGGTGGAAAATAATCTGTTTATAACTTTTATATGCATTACTGCGGCATACACAACAATATAGACTCATTGTGTTACGATTATACTTTTTGTGTTATGATTATACTATTATGAGTAAATATGTTTTATAATCTTTAATGTCAATCGTCTTGTTTACATATGCTTTGTTTCACGAAAAGAAGGAGAACCGGAGACATAACACTCCACTCTAAACAGGCGGAGGCCGCCAAATACCCCACCACGCATCGTTAGAAAGAGACAGACTGCTCTACGAAAGCATGTTACCTCTTTCTAAAGCCAGCGGCACACGGTGCTTGTTTTCGTGCTGGATTGCTTGCTGGATGAAAATACTGCGTTCTGATTGGTGCATTTCCATCCATCTTCGGAAATGTACCAATCAGAACGCAGTATTTTCATCCAGCAAGCAATCTAGCACAAAAACAAGCACCCTGTGCCGCTGGCTTAATATTGAACATGTGCAGACAAAGGAAACGTTGCGAATGCGCGGTCTATATATTATATGTCTATGGCTGTGAGGGACTTGATTAGCTGGCAATTAAATATTTTTTATATCTGTTCGAATTTTAAGGAAACATTTGTGATGCCAACCAAAGATAATTATTTTTTTTTGCTTATAGTAGCTATAATAAATAAATCTTTTTGGTTTATATAAAATGTTTATATATTAATTATAAAAAATAATTCTTTTTTGTTTACTTATAGCTATAATACAAATACTTATACGTATTATATAACTTTGTTTAAGTTTATGTATTTATAATTATAAATATTATAACAGCAAATATCAGTAAAATATTTTAATAATACTCTATATAAAACGTCATATTTAAAAATATTGTTTCGCATTCACGAGATTTCGTCGTGAATTCTTGCGGAAATCTAGGATTGGGTTGCGGGCCAATATTTTTCAATGCGACGGTGAATAGAACGTGAAAATCTGGTATGCCTCTGAATCCGAAAACAATTAGGAGAAGAAGTGAATACTTTTCAATTGCGAAAGTTCACATTTGCAAATTATGGATTACGATTGAATGCAGGGCATATTTGAAATGAATTGAATCCTTTTTAATGCGAAACATTGACCACTGCCGTCTCGCATTTAGCGCGATGAAATTTAATGGGAACTAATACTTTTCAATACCTTTCTTCGGATCAGAAAGCAGAATTCAGACGTATTCAAAATGTCAATACTTTTTAATATGTTTCAATTCAATATTTTATACAGGGTATATATAAATATAAGATATATGTATCATTATTTATTATCCCCAAAACAGAAGATTACAACTAAGCTATTGTATACAAGTCGGCATAATTGTCTTAACACATAAAAGTGAAACCATTGTAGAACACGTGGATCTCTTACGGAAATGTTTAGAATACAATGGTATTATTTACGTACTAATAATACTTAAGTAATATTTTAAAACTTTACGTAAGAGATCTATATGTTCTAAAATGGTTTTACTTTTGTATGTTAAGGCGATTATGCCAATTTGTGTATAATAGCGCGTGTATAATAATGTATACACTATATGTATATGATCTAAAGTAATATTGCATACATATTGCATTGCAATATTGCTACAAAGTTGTATTGCAATATTTCTTAAGGCAGACATTTTATCGTTGCTGTAATCTTGCAGCAATGTTGTGGCAACATTTTGCAGCTTTTCTGCAATGTTGCAATCTTACACTGCAATGTTTCCACAATGCTGTTACAATCTTTTGGTGGCATACGGGACTATAGGTCTGTTTTTATCGTTGAACTAGTGTACATTCAGGGAACATAAAAAGAAATAGATATACATCTAGGAGAAAGGGAGAGAAGAAGAGAATAAGTGCAAGTTAGTGCAGCCAGTTCAGCAATAGAAAACAAACCTCATGAATACGGGTATAAAGCCAGTGGCACACAATGCTGGTTTTTGTGCTGGATTGCTTGCTGGATGAAAATACTGCGTTCTGATTGGTATTAGGTATACAAATGAATAATCCAATTTTTTCAACTACATTCAAGGTTTATTTTAAAAGAAAGTAAATTAAATTGTTCAATCAAAGTATTCGTCGTTGCTTTCTATAACTTTAAGCCAACTTTCAGGCAGCTGATGAATTCCATCTTGAAAAAATGTTACGTCTTTGGACACGATAAAGTCATCAAGCCATTTTCGGATCTCATCCACTGATTGAAAGTACATATCGGATAAGGCGTGTTGCATCGACCGGAACAAGTGATAATCGGATGGAGCAATATCTGGTGAATACGCCGGGTGCTGCAAGACGTCCCAGCCAAGACTCATTATGGTGTCTTTTATATTGGAAGCAATATGTGGCCTGGTGTTGTCATGCAACAATTTCACTGGACGTTCTCCTTTGCCAGTATACGGGCGTTTTCGTTCCAATTCTTGACTCAAGTAGATTAATTGACGTTGGTAGCAGTTCGCAGTAACTGTTTCACCCGGTTCCAACAACTCATAATAAAGCACGCCCTTGATATCCCACCAAATGCAGAGAAGAACCTTCTTTCCGAAGCGATTGAGTTTTGCGACCGATTTTGATGATTCGCCGGGATTTACCCATGACTTTCTGCGTTTCGAATTGTCATAGAGTATCCATTTCTCATCGCCCGTAACGATTTTCCGCAAGAAAGACTTTCGACGCTGCTTATTGAGAAAAGAAAGACACGCTGCCACTCGTTGATTTTTGTTGGTTTCAGTGAGTTCATGCGGAACCCATTTTCCTTCTTTTTGGATCTTTCCTATCTCATGTAGGCGTTTGGAAATCGTTTGCTGCGTTACTCCCAACTGTTCTGCAAGCTCTTTTTGTGTTTGTGCCGAATTCTCAGCGAGCAGTTGTTCCAAATCATCATTATTGCACTTCGGAGGGCTTCTAAGGCGTTGTTTGTCGATTAGACTGAAATTACTGCTTTTAAACCGCTTAAACCAAAATGCGTACATACGATACCTTCGACAACACCTTCGCCGAGAAAGGAACAAATCGATTCGTACGCTCTTGCAGCATTTTTTCCTTATTGGAATTCGTAAAAAATGCAGTATCGGATATGCACCTTATCTGTTGCCATTTTCGACTGTACTGAACTGAATAGTTTTGAAGGTTATGTTGGGCCTTTCGCTAAACTATATGTTCTTTTTAATAGCTATATGTCAACATTGCATAATCACAAAAGAGCGGGAAAATCTATTAAATTTAAAATTGATTTCATAACTGCTTAAAATAATTTGGATTATTATTCATTTGTACACCTAATACATTTCTGAAGATGGATGGAAATGCATCAATCAGAATGCGATATTTTCATCCAGGAAGCAATCCAGTACGAAAACAAGCACCGTGTGCTGCTGGCTTAATACCCGTATTCATATGGTCTGTTCTTTGTAGTTGCACTGCTGAACTGGTGCAATAAGCTAGAGTGAGAAAATCTATATTTGTCTCACTTTAACTTATTGCACCAGTTCAACAGTGCAGCTACAAAGAACAGACCAAAGGTCAGGCCTTATATTTGAGGCTTCCTTATATCCATCTTTAGATGCTGCACGGATTATTTTATTGGCTACAGACTATCTGAAGATAAACTTAAGGAAGTCTTAAATATAAAGGCTCGTCTACATTAGCTGTAAGAATAAGGCTGTAAGGTTGCAAGGCACGAAATGAAATATTTTCATTCGCTGACAGCTTACGTTACAGCCTTAAGCTAAGACTCCATGCATGCGGTGAGCTCCGGCAAACGGCTGCGGTGACCAATCAGGAGACAGACGCATGCCGGAGCTTGCCGCAACCGGACTTGCGCCTCCCTCCTGATTGGTCATCGCAGCATTTGCCGCAGCTCACCGCATACATGGAGTCTTAGCTTTAGCTTTACAGCCTGACTCTTACAGCTATTGTAGACGAGCCTTTAGACCTGACTATGAATACAGGTGTAAGTTCGTTTGTGTGTGAGGGCCTTAAGCAAGATGCTGAAATGGCTACCGTAGTATTTCCTAGCCAACTTCCGTTGCATGGTGAAGGTGAACGTGTCACATCCTGTGGACAACCGGCCATTATCTCGTAAGAGCGTGCCCTCGTAAGGGTTGGGATATTCGGGCAAGATGGTATGTTTGAAGTTATCTTTTCGTAATATTAAGAATATTTTCTTTAATCTCTTCCTTAATATAAATTCAATTATAATAAATATGAGCCAATTATTAAAAATGAGCGAAAAAGTATGATGCTTATTTTTCAGCCAGATTCATCATTATTTCGAAGTCACGTTCTTTGCGAAAAGATTTATACATTTTATATTTTTATATAATTTCGGTATTTATTTGTTGCTTCAAAATATATATAATTTATATGTGCTATGTATCTTTGAGTAATTTCTGTAATTTTCCTACAATCATAATTTCTTATGAAACATCTTGTACAAAATGTCCAATGCGGAAGTGTTCACGTGTGCAGATTTGCAGAGAACGTCTTTAAAGGAAATAGCATAGTATGAAAGTTCCATAAACCATGTTAATTATATAATTTATCTCATTGGAAGATATTTAGTTGGCAATTTTTACTACATATTTAGTTTATTTCTATCAATGATGATAAATAATGAGGAAAAATCCTTCTGATTCTGGATATTGTAATAGTCTGATATTGTAGTTCAAAATCATCTCGATTATAATAGTTTTTAGACTTTCGCGGCCATTGATACAATCAGGATGTATTCTTCCGGATGGATACTGTCATAATTCAGTTTTGTGTCGACGTTTCGCAAACATTGCAGCTTGCATCATCAGGACTAGTGATCGTACCAGTATTGGAGCTCCTAGCCCTGATGATGTAAGCTGCAATGTTTGCGAAACATCGGCACAAAGCTGAATTACAACGCAATATCCATCCGGAAGAAACATCCTGATTCATCTCAATTATATCATTTTTTACCTGATTCTAATTTTTATGAATTTTTGTATAGGGTTTTGTTAAAGTAGTTAAGAATAAGCAATACTTTAAACGATACCAAGTTAAATTCAAGAGGCGCCGTCAAGGAAAAACTGATTATTATGCTCGAAAGAGATTAACTATACAAGATAAAAATAAATACAATACTCCTAAGTATAGGCTGATTGTGCGACTGTCTAACAAAGATATTACTTGCCAGGTAAATAGAATAACATATTTAGCTTTAATTCATTTTTTAATATTTTATATTAAATTTATATTATAATTCATATGAATTATATATTATAACTAATATATCATAAGGTGGCCTATTCAAGGATTGAAGGAGATCGAATTGTATGTGCTGCTTATAGCCATGAACTTCCAAAATATGGAGTAAAAGTAGGCCTTACCAATTATGCATCTGCATATTGCACTGGTTTACTTTTGGCACGAAGAGTAAGTTATCTTTCTTAATTGATTTCCAAAATGTACTTATAAAAACATATGAAATGATCTTTAACATGATGATAATCTCAGCTCGCTTCGATGTTTTACTGAAGAAAATTAAAGTTCCCAATTATTATATTCTGATAATAAAATTGTCAAATATGTGTAGATTATATTGAGAAATTAGCCAATGTTAAAATCAATGTTTTGTTTTCTTAGTTGCTTAAGAAACTAGGCCTGGATACTTTGTATGTTGGTAACACAGAGGTATCTGGTGACGCATATAATATTGAGGAATTAGATAGTGGTCCAGGTGCATTTAGATGTTATCTGGATACTGGTTTAATGCGTACTACAACAGGTGCAAGAGTTTTTGGTGCTATGAAAGGTGCAGTTGATGGTGGCCTTGATATTCCCCATAGGTAATAAGTTTAGTTTTACGATTTCCAAAATATTATATCCTATAATTTAGTTGTTTCAATGATTTTTTATTTTATTTTATAGCACTAAGAGATTCCCTGGTTATGATAACGAATCAAAGATGTTCAATGCAGAAACACATAGGCAACATATATTTGGTCAGCATGTTGCCAACTATATGAGAACTCTTGAAGAGGAGGATGATGAAGCCTTTAAGAGACAATTTTCGCAATATATTAAGCATGGAATTTCTGCAAACGATGTAAGCAGTTGAAATATTATTTCAAATACATATATAAATTATCTTAATATATAAAAATATACGTCCAACTTATAATTGCTACTTAAATTATAAATTTAAGTAGTGTCGCAGTTGGACAACATTAATTTTCATTTGTTATTAAATATAAATGCATGCTTTAATATGCATTTATCAAAGTAGACTTATGTTACACTGCCATTAATCTGTGTGTATATATATATATATGTGTGTGTGTGTGTATATATAGGGTGCTAAATTTCAAACGTAACAAGTAAAAAATCTCAAAAACTATGAAAGATATTAAAGAAAGCTAAAACACGTGTTCTATGATTTTAAAGGGGAAAGAGAATGGCATTATTGGTTCTTTATTTGGAGGGCATTTTCAAGGTCAGTTGAAGGTCAACTTAATTTTTTAAAATAGAAAGCCTAATTTTTTATTATATCTTTTTCTACCAATTTTAACAACTTTTGTCTGAAACATTTCTTTTTGCCTAATATTTTTGGAAATATTTAAGGAAAATTTGGTACATTTTTCAACATTTAACTTATATCTCGCTAACTTCGTCAAAAGAAAAAATAGTATTAGACTTTTTTACTTTATTTACTATCAAGAATATATTATTATAATAGTGCCCTAACTTTTGTTAATTTAATAATTTTGAAATTTCCAAATATCGATAAGTTAACAAAAGTTAGGACACTATTATAGTAATATATTCTTGACAATAAATAAAGTAAAAAAGTCTAATACTATTTTTTCTTTCGACGAATAATTAGTGAGATATCGTAAGTTAAATGTTGAAAAAGTTACCAAGATTTCCTTAAATATTTTCAAAAACATTAGGCAAATAAAAAAATGTTTCAGACAAAAGTTGTTAACATTAATTGGTAGAAAAAGAAGATATAATAAAAAGTTGGGCTTTCTATTTAAAAAAATTAAGTTGACCTTCTACTGACCTTAAAAATGTCCTCCAAATAAAGAACTGATAATGCCATTCTCTTTTCCCTTCAAAATCATGGAATCCGTGTTTTAGCTTTTTTTAATATCTCATAGTTTTCGAGATTTTTATCTGTTACATTTGAAATTTAGCACCCTGTATGTATACCAAGTTTTTCAAAAGTAACGGACGCCCCACTATCTCAGAATCTATGTATTATAGGAAAAAATGACTCGAACAAAAGTTTTAGGGTTCATAAAGTTTCGTTTTTTTTGTGACCTTAAATTTGACCTTGACCTCGACCTTGATGGTCATTTGTCAACTTGCGTTTTTTAAATGGGAATCCCTATTTTTTATTACATTGTTTTTTTTCTACTAATAGATTTGAACAGCTTTTGTCTAAAACATTTTTTTATTTGCCTAATATTTTTTGAGATATTTGAGGAAAACTTGATAACTTTTTCAATATTTAACTTACGATATCTCGCTAATTATTTGGCGGAAGAAAAAGTGGTACTAGACTTTCTTGCTTTATTTAGTCTCAAGAATATATTGTTACAATATATTTTTTTATCAATTAATTTGAACAACTTTGAAAAAATATATTATTATAATAGTGCCCTAATTTTTGTTAATTTGATGATTTTGAAATTTCCAAAAGTCGGTAAGTTAACAAAAGTCAGGACACTATTATAATAATATATTCTTTCAAAGTTGTTCAAATTAATTGAAAAAAAAAAACAGTATAATAAAAAATAGGGGTTTCGATTTAAAAAACGCAAGTTGACCTCCAAATGACTTTCAAGGTCGAGGTCAAGGTCAAATTTGAAGTCATAAAGAAACAGAACTTTATGAACCCCAAAACTTTTGTTCAGGTCATTTTTCCCTATAACGCATAGATTCTGAGATAGGGGGTCCGTTACTTTTGGAAAACTAGATATATAGATATTAAACAAAAAAATATGTTTTTCATTTAGATTGAAGACATCTACAAGAAAGCTCATGAAGCCATTCGAGTTAATCCGCAATACGAGAAGATCGTTAAAGAGAAAGAACCAATTAAGAAAAGGTGGAATCGCGCTAAGTTATCATTATCAGAAAGAAAGAATCGTGTAGCTCAAAAGAAAGCTTCTTTTCTTCAGACATTAGAAGAAGCAGAGACATAATGTATGAAAAAAAGAATAAAGGATACACAATGAATTTGTTTTAATTCCAATATATACATCATAAATAATGAATTTTTTAAAATTATTATGCCAATTATCATTAAAAATTTAAAAACAGCAGTTCTATTCTTACATGATTTCAATTATTTCTTTTATATACTTCAATTTTTTGATGAGATTCCATAAATACAATATGAATATAGCATATATTAATCAAGTATTTGATCTTGTGTATCTTGTGTTGTTTCCATTTGATGATAAAATTCTTTTGTTTTTTATTTTGTGCTGTTGAGCAATAAATTTATCTGTTTGTCAATTTAACGTTGTCAAATATTATATATATAAAATATAAATATTAATAAATATAGCAGAAAACACTACAAATATGTAGAGATAAATTATCAATGATTGTTTCTTCCAATATATCACTTGCATCACGTGTAAAATTTGGAGGTTAAAATTCATATTTTTTTCAAAGATGTTATCCAGATAATTACGTAGATACATATATAGGGTGTTCCATAATTGTAACACATCAACTCCATAGGGGCGTAAATCTAAGCGAGAGGAACGAAAAAGTTCTCTTCCATTTAGCGATATTTTGTATAGTTTTTTAATAATAATCGCGTAAAGTTTGGCGTTTGTCACGCCCATCACGATCTATGGCGATGACTTGGCGCTTTGACGTCGCGCGATGGTCAGCGCAAGCCGCGTTACTGCTCAGCCTCGACGCACATAGCTTACCACGGAGCGTCTATAGGCCTCGATGGGCGTGACAAACGCCAAACTTTACGCGGTTATTATTAAAAAACTGCGAGATATCGCTAAATGGAAGAGGACTTTTTCGTTCCTCGCTTAGCTCTATGCCCTTATGGAGTTAATGTATTACAATTATGGGACACCCTGTATATGCTATCATATCGTATGAGGTTTAATTCATTCATGTAAACAGATGTTAAGTATTCAAATTCTTAATTCGCTAAACTTGATTAAATCACATTTAGATTGAAAAGACTAGCGTGATTTTAACAGAAAAGTGACAATCTGATACGAGAGCCGATCTTGTGTATCGATTAAACCGTTTTGAACATTTGATAAAGAAGGAACAATTTTACCTCTGTGAAGTTGGCCCCCATTCTTCAAATTTGAAAAAAAATTATTAGAGTTCTGAATGCCCCTCGCAGAGTTCTAGAGTTCGCAATCCATTATAAAAAGAGTTCCATCATTTAAAGTAAAGAATATACTATTTTTAAAATCGGAGGGCCAACTTCACGACGCCCCTCATTATGTAAAAAATGCAAATTTTTTTTAGAGTTCTAGACAGATTTTTAATAGTTCTATAGTTCTAGATAAGTATTAAAAATAGTTCTGTTTAAAACAATAAGAAAAATTATTTAAAATTCTCGAATTAGAAAACGAAAAATGGCAAGAACTCTACCAATTTTGGTTTTAGCGCATCGAGTGTTAATAATAATATTTAGGACTCGTGAGGGGCTAACCAGAACTCTCAATAAAACATCAATAAAACATTTTCAAAAAAATTGATTGTTTATTAAACACGTAAAATTTTTTTTTCGGAAATCCGACGTTTCATTCAGAGTTCTGGTTAGCCCCTCACGAGTTTTAAAGATTATTATTAACACTCGGAGCGCTAAAACCAAAATTGAAAGAGTTCTTGCCGATTTTCGTCCCTCGAGTCGAATATTTCCATGTCCCTCGAATCGAAAATTTATTTTCGGAAATCCGACGTTTCATTCAGAGTTCTGGTTAGCCCTCACGAGTTCTAAAGATCATTATTAATACTCGGTGCGCTAAAACCAAAATTGAAAGAGTTCTTGCCGATTTTCATCCCTCGAGTCGAATATTTCCATGTCCCACGGATCGAAAATTTTTTTCGGAAATCCGACATTTCATTCAGAGTTTTAGTTAACCCCTCACGAGTTTTAAAGATTATTATTAATATTCGGAGCGCTAAACCCAAAATTGAAAGAGTTCTTGCCGATTTTCGTCCCTCGAGTCGAATATTTCCATGTCCTTCGGATCGACAATTTTTTTTCGGAAATTCGGCGTACCATTCAGAGTTCTGGTTAGCCCGTCACGAGTTGTAAATATTATTATTAATACTCGGTACGCTAAAATCAAAATTGAAAGAGTTTTTGCCGATTTTCGTCCCTCGAGTCGAATATTTCCATGTCCCTCGGATCGAAAATTTTTTTTCGAAAATCCGGCGTACCATTCAGAGTTCTGGTTAGCCCGTTACGAGTTGTAAAGATTATTATTAATACTCGGTACGCTAAAACCAAAGCGTACTCTGAAAAATCAAATTAATATTGTAATCCGAAAAGTTAATTTATAATAGAATATTTACTTCGATGATTCAGCTAAAGAAAAAAATATTTATTATTATATTCAGAGAATAATATTTAATTTATTATTTATACTTATCTTACTTATGCTTACCCTACATGAGCTTCTTTGCATGAAAAATTTAATTTGTTGACTGATTTAGATTCAAATTTGTTAATATATCTCTTATGCGCAACTCTTGAACAGGTAGGTAGTAAAATAATTTTCATTCTTTACGAATTTTATAAACTTTTCACAAACATAAAAATTGAAAAATTCGCAGGGAACAAATAACTTTTCTTGAACATTTAAACCAAAGGAAAATTTTTTCCCATTAATAAAGAATGAATAATTAATATCTCACACAAGAGGAATCTTCATCCTTGATATCACCGCGCGATTTTGCGTTTAGAAAAGTATAATATTGATGTAATAGTAACAAATGCTATCCAAAAACGGTGCAAATCTTAAACGTTTTTGAGAAATGCAGTTTGAAGTTTGGTCTTTTCTGTTAATGTCGTTATAGCAGAAGAATTACCAATTTGCTTCAGTAGCGCAGTGGATCAGACTTTGTGATATGAGCGTAGAGGTTGTTCAAGTGTGTTATTTTTACTAGCACAGGGAGAACTATGTAGAATGTATAATAATACGCAGACAAATTCTTTACATAATCATACTTATTTTTTTTAGCATGAATAAAAATGATGAATGCTAACATGATAAGTGTATATCGCAATTGTACGTGTACGCAATTGTACACATACATACATACATACACACGTATACCATATACGATGTCAAAACCGAACAATTCGTGAAAATTTTTTATTGATCGCAATTGTACGCAAAGACGAAAGAGAAGTACACGGGTCTCCGCGGGTATCTCGTCATATTAATTGTCTATGAGCTGATAAATAATCGATCTCCGGTATTTACAAGTTACGCTTGTCCGCAGCTTGTTCGGTTTTGACATCATTGGTATCAGTGATGCGAATTTGGTGACGGGCTTGCACGAGGATCCTCCCCATCCCCCACCCCATGCACGCACACAGTCAGCTCGGTCTATCCGTGTGAACCATGCGATCGGCAATCGTCGACGCGCCGAGAGAGAGAGAGAGAGAGAGAGAGAGAATATCATTCCCTCCTTGTCGCTCTCGTTCTCGCTCAGCGAGCGAGCCTAGTTCTTTCTTACTCATAATCTGAATCGCGGACGCGACTGTCTCTCTCTCTCCTTTCCTCTCTATGACAATACTGAAAAGTTTTGTCTACTCGGTGCACCGAAATTATTACAAATAATATTTCATTATTAATAATATTATTATCTGTAATTTTATTTGTAATTGTATAATAATGTTACAAATAATACAAATTTTTACAAATTTTATTTGTACAAATTTATATCATTTGTAATATTATTTGTAATAGTATTGATAATATTCGGCGCCAAGAAAATGAAATATATCTTATTAATTATTTTGCGGAGTCGGGCAGGTTCACAGGTTTGATTATTGAATTGTTTAGTAATATTTTAAGAATAATTTTAAGTTATACAAGGATGTAGTATGAAATATGAAAGAATATTGTAACAGAATCAAGAAGTAGGAAATGAAACCTCTTTGCTTTTATAACAATATCCTGTAAGTTAATAAATATTTTTCATACAGTATTAAATAATCTCCAAAAACAATTACATCCGTGAAATTTTCTATCTGTGTGAAAAAAAAGTCGGGCAGGTTCACAGGTTTGATTATTGAATTGTTTAATAATATTTTAAGAATAATTTTAAGTTATACAAGGATGTAGTATGAAATATGAAAGAATATTGTAACAGAATCAAGAAGTACGAAATGAAACCTCTTTGCTTTTATTACAATATCCTGTAAGTTAATAAATATTTTTCATACAGTATTAAATAATCTCCAAAAACAATTACATCCGTGAAATTATCTATCTGCGTGAAAAAAAATTCATAAAATATATTTGTTTCGTCGTTTAAATGAGAAAACTCTCAGAACAATGTCATAGTTGTTCAGTGCACTACTCAATAAAAATATAATAATACTATGTTTGTATGTGTGAAGAATATTTGTTAACTTACAGGATATTGTAATAAAAGCAAGGAGGTTTTATTTCGTACTTCTAAAGCCAAGACTTATTAACAGCTAAAGACATATTCGAATTGATCTTGCCTTAATTGGTCGGATCAGTGATCGGTCTTGCCTTAAGTTCCAAGCCTCATAACTCGGAAAGTACTCGATGAAATGTAACTTTGTTAGAGTATTTTGCAATGCTCTCGAGATAAGCTACAAGAATATGTAATAAAAAACCGTAGTTTCTATTTAAAAAAACATTAATGACCTTGGCCTGATTTTGACAAGGTCACTTCACTCAAGGTCAAGTCCACATTTCCGTCATGTGTCGTCCTTCAAGCCATGCAACTTTCGTTCGTAAAATTTTTTAATAAAATCATCGATAATGGACCATGTCACTTTAGTTAGGAAAGTCTAGAAACGGTCAAATACCTCGAAAACGAAACATTTTTAAGAAAAATATTTCCAACTAAAGTTGTAGGGTTTTAAAAGTTCTATTGAATGATTATATCCGGTTGACCTTGAGTGGAGGAGGCGACCAAGGCGAGGTCAATGCCAACATAATTTTTTTAAATAGAATATCCCATTTTTTATCACACAGTGTTAAA